GGGTAACGCTAAGCAGAGACTCGTCTTTTCTATAATATGGGACAAACAGATCTGTTAGAGTTAATATTGTTTCATTAGAAGAACTGAAAGTCTCCCCTAGAACAACAGTCTGTGCGCCGCGCTCCTGTAACAGCGCTGAGGAGAAGAGTTTGGTCATGTGAACAAAGTTGGACATAACTGTTGGATAACGAAGCTCTGAACACATAAACTTATAGCGTGTTAGATTTTAGATACCAAGGTCTCGGGTAGCTCGGGAGCAAAGTGTGGAGGATGGGGTTTCCTCACTCAGGACAGGAGATGGAGACTGCTTCTCCAACATCAGAAAGASCCGCCCTGCTCTGCTCTGATTGSATAAAGCTGTGGGGTTCGTTTGATTTGTTGAAAGCAGCGTCTGTTTAAACCTGTATCAGACTGAGCGGCTTTAAYGAGACCGCAACAGAAAACAAACAAGTTTCTCTTTTCCTCATTTTCTTGAATACTAAAAATGCAGACATGGGCAAAATGATGTCGGTTATTGTCATAAATGTCGGTGTCGGTTATTTTTCGTTTTATCGCCCAGGCCTACTCCAAACAGTTCAGCTGTACAGTGTTCACAGATAACTTTAGTTCTATCCTACGRAGCCCGTGAGGGGACATGGGAGATTTTTTTTTTCTTTTGTGTTCCCACGCAATAGTATTGCGTTCCCTCGCAAAAGTAGTTTATCACTGTTGTGCCTGCCRGTTTATTAGTAAACTCACATGTTCACCATTAGCGAGTTAGCCTACTGCTTTAATTCAGCTTCAGAATGAATATATCACACAGCCAYGCATGGAAGTATGTCATATGCCGATATTTTATCACAGCACAGCTCATCAATGTCAATTTCACGAACTTGTGGCGACACGYCCTGTTTTGGTAACCGGATATTTCAAGAATAAAAGTCTGATTTAATTCAGTTCATATACAAAACAATCTTTTGCGTGGAAACGCAAAACTATTTTGTGAGAGAATGCAAACGTTTGTGAGGTAACGCAAAACGTTTTGCGAAGTAACGCAATAGTATTACAAGGTAATGCAAAGATATTGTGAGTTAACGCAATAGTATTTTGAGGTAACACAAAAGAAAAAAATCCCTCTATGTTCCCTCATGGACTCCGTACTGTCCAGCCCACCGTCGGGAGGCGTTTTAAAATAAAACTTTCATGATTTACGTCTGGTGCCTTCCACCATGTTTCTATTTTTGTGGCATATTTTCTGATAGGTTCATGTGAGCGTTGCCACGCAACGGCTTAAACAAAGGCTCTCAATTGATGAGACGCATCACGGTGACCATTTAAAGCCAACAGTGATACCAGCCGCCACCCCCCCCCCCAGTGTGTGTATGCATGTTCACAGCCCGTGACTGTTAGCACGACAAACGTTCAACGGTTCAGTTTTTGATTTCTCCAAGACTCGACTGACTTTGTTGAGGCAGGAAACGATGTGGCTGAGGTCGATCCAGGGCGTCCCCGCTTCCGTCACCTGGTGGAACAGGTGATCCCGGAAAAGCTTCAACAGGTAGCGGTCACCCGTCTCCGACCATGCTGGGTCCTTTTGAAACCTGATTTACAAAACGACAGAGAGAGACAGAGAGTGATAACTGGAATACACCGACTCAAACCCTCAACAGGAGCTCGGTACTCACTCTGGCCGCTCGTTAATGGTGCCCAGCTTGGCGAGCAGGCGGAAGAGACGACCATTTTGCACCTCCTGCAAAAAGGAAGATCTGATTAAAAGCAGATTTATGACACAAATACTAATAAAATCATTTAGCTGCTCCAACCACTGCAAACCAAACTAAAATGCAAAACAATCTGTTACCACTCTATGTGAGCAGCAATGTGGTGCATAATGCAACAAAAAGAACCTGAATAATCAAAAGCAACTTGCACTCATGACTACAGAAAGGAACACATTCTTGTTCTGCTTGAGAAAACTGGACACCTTTAGTAGCCAAAACACGGTCAGAAACTGAAACAGTCACTTGACTTAAAGGTGTCGAAGCAGATGACACTTCCTCCTTACAAAAAGTGAAGTACACATTGATGCAATCACCTCTAACACACTTATTTTAATGTGCAGTCTCTAAACCCAGACAGCCAGACTCCAACACAGTGTGATAATTTACTGAAATAAATCGAAACGTTTAAAAAAAGATGAAGCATCTTTTTAAAAAGATTTATAGAATAGTTGCTTTTAAACACAACCAGAGTACGTCCAAACACAAACCCAACAAAATGAAGGAATAAAAACCATGAATAATTCTAAATGTATAGATAAAATACAGAAAACTAACAACAGATCACATCTAGTGAGACTTCACAGCTGAATTCTGGGAGATTTTACAATCATGAAGATAAAAACACACAAGATAAAAACAAGGAGCTTTTCTTCCCACATCTTACCAACCGTTTGCACTAGTCGGGTTTGTGTATGAGGCTTCTAAAAATACTGACATGTTCACCTATAGGGGGCGCTTTCATTGAGGTTCTTGCATTCTGTCATGCTACTTCTAAACTTTAATGCATGGTTCACACGATAAGATAATTCTGCTAATTTTTGCCCAGATTTTCCCCTTCCAACAATCTTAAGGACCCTCCAATTATTGTGATGACTCTAAAGATAATCTTATATAATTATCTTATATAATATTGAGGATATTCAACTGTCTAATATAATATAAAATATAACATAACATAACATAACATAACATAACATAGCATAACATATAATAATACTGTAGGACCACATCTATTATTTTTTTATGGTCATGTGGAGACTCTGTCTTTGAAAATCAACCAACAATTTTAAAATCTTCCCATGTGAACCAGGCACAAGCTACACAATTAAAAACCTTGGATCCACACCTTTCCTGCACTTCATATCAGATGGTACAAGCCACGCTTTTTTCCGAAAAAGATTTTTTTGCTACATCGCAAAATTTGCAAAACATTCTTTTATCTCCTTTTCGAAGGTTTAAAATTTGGTCACCATGAAACTCACTGTTTTAAATCTAGATACCATGTTGACGAGGTTATCGAGGACAAATTATTTTAAAAACTGTGCAAATAGTTATGGCTAGGTAGCAAAAACCTATTGCGCAATATTACCTTGACTAATATTTAAATCCAAACCTGCTTCAAACAAATTTATTTAAGAGTTAAGTTGCTGTCACACTATAAAGTTTTAGACAACTTATGCAGACTTCTGAAAACTTAGATATCACTATTTTACTCATAACGGCCATGCATTCAATCTATTTGTTAGCATTACAGTATGTTTAGGTCCAAAAGAGCTTTCCTGTAGATATTTTAAAAATTCATCTTCAGCTTAAACATCTTCAGTTTTGGACAAACTTTTCATAAATTGGCAAAAACTGTCTAAAACATTATATTGTGACAGGGCCTGTAGCAAACTGATGCAACCATCTTTTTAATTCTGTATACTTGTTCCCAGAAAATGTGTTTTACAGTTGAAAGGTCCACGATTTATGTCACATTAAAGCTGAGGAATGTTTAAACAACTGATAGAGGTCTCATTTTTATTTGGTATTTTAACCAGGGGTGATTTCCACTGCAGATGGTCAAAACCAGAAGCGTTGAAATCTACATAGGACTAACCCAGCAGGTGGTGGCTCACCTTGATCTCTGCAGATATAATTTACTCCTGCCTCCTCCTCCTCCTCCTCCTCCTCCTTTATGCCTGTCTCACCCTGTCAAACGCTTTCTGCACTGTTGGACAAAGTGGAAAATCATCATCACCACCAATCGATCCCACTTTTGCCTCATCTCAAAGAAAAGTAGGACTTGTAATTGACTTTTTCTTTCTCAACCCATCTCTTAAAAAAACTACTAGATATCTCAAAACAAGTCCCTCTCAAAACTGTATTCTTTGGCTCTTAATTCAAACTCGCACATATATTCCTCCATGACATGAGACATACTTCAGGAAGCCAACCCAATTAATGCAAATACCTTTTTATGTAAAAAGAAATGACACCAATATGTCGACACGTTGGCTGGAAAAACTTATAGGAGTGAGACCAAGTCTTTGTASTACTACCTCACACAGTTTCCCTTGATATTCTATTCACAGGCAGATCATTTTTATTTTTTATTTATTTTTTTGAGAATTTGCTGCTTTGATAATTGATCTGACACTACCACCATCATTTTCTTTTCAAATATGGGATCAATTATTGTGTTAGATTACAACATAAACATACACTACCTGGGTTTAAATAAGCAAATAGGTACTGTACAAGCCTCCTATTGGATAATTACTGCATGGGCCATTATCTTTAATAAGGCAACAAGTTATTTAACCCAACTGGTGCAATGAGTTGATTCTCATTTCTTAAACAACCATGTGGAAAGACACATCCTGTGGTCATGGAAAAGATGTCAGTCTGTTTGAGAAGAGTCAAATCATTGGCATCAAGCAGAGAAAGCAGTCACCACTTTCAGTTTTAGGCTGAATTCTACAGTCTGCATAAAGAAAATGTTTTTTTTTTTTTATAAAAACTAAACAGACTACAGTATTTTTTCAGTTTTTGTTTTATGGTTAAAGTAAATGTTAATAATGTCTAACGTTACAAGTAATCGGGGTTCCCTTTAAGTCTTACCTCATACACAGTCACAATGTCAAATGACTTTTCTTTGAAGCATAAAGTAACTAATTACAACTAAACATGAATGAAAACCTGAACATCCAGCAGCAAGGTCAGAACTACAGCAAGCTTCAAAACCTAAAAACAATCATCCGAGGTGTCTCTGCTATACACCTCATCTCTACTGTTTATCAATGTTGCAGACATTTTAATTGTTTATTTTGTTTATTAATCAATTGATACCAGCATGATACCTTGCAAAACCAAAATCAGAAGCAAAAAACAAAAACTAAATAATATTATTGCATGCTTCTTGTGTAGGCGTATTACATCATTGGATGAAAAAGGAAGTTGATGCATAATGAACAAAAATATATTCGGTATATGATTGTTTTAGGTCAGTGGTGTTACACATTCACACTCCAGCATGAGAAAATTAAATTGAAGACCATACTGCAAACTGGACAGCATCCTGTGTAACTTCTTTCGTAGATGAAAAACAAACAAACAAAAAAATAATAATAATAATCCTGTGCAGCATCCCAGAATAGCAGACAGAAATGCACTGTGCAAAAACACACACCTGCTGCAAAGCACACTGTGCAACACGCACAGCATCGTTCACATTACCTTGGCAAGGTCTTCTTCAATGACATCATTCCTCATCTGCGATGCATCGAGCTGCGTATAGAAGCGGGCTCCAATCATGGGCATGATGTCATTGACACTTCGCAGGCGAGACTGGTCGGTCAGCAGATACCTGCAGGAAGGCAAAAGCTGAAACAGTCAGAGGCGCAGAACAAAAGAATCAGACCCACTTATAAATGTGGCCCTTTAATGTTTGTTCAAACTTTATTATTATTACAATATTGTGTAATTGTTGCATCCTGCTGCAAAATGGCATCAAGTGTCTGCTGGTAGTTTCTGCAGCTCTTCTACTGATATGCACTCAAACTTGTGTTTATAGTTTGTCTTTTACTGCTCTGAAAATTTTTAAAATCTCATTCAGTGTTCGGGGCATCAAAGACAGCTTCACAAACATCATTTTTAACCTTCGTTTCATCACAAAGCATAAAACTAAAAAGCATAAAACATATGTGAAAGCATAAAACTAATAAAATGTTTATTAAAAAAAATTTTGCTTCATCAACAATAACTAAGTTAAAGGAACCGCATTCACACAGACAAAAAAAAAGATTTGTTTTAGAGTCCATAAACTGGCAAAGGCTGTGCTTTACAAGCATGAGCTTTAATTTCCTGTGCTTTTGTTTAAATAACAGTCCTTATTACACTAGGAGCTGTTTTTGAATAGAAGGATGCTGGAAACTACGAGCTCCTTTTTATGCAATACCATCTTCAGTCAAATTCAGATCAAATAAAAACTAAAACTTAGTTTTTAAATCTTTTTAAATTATTACTTGAGGCTGCATATGGTACATTTGATGTTTTCTTTTACTTTATCACTTCTTGTTCAGCTGCATGTTTCACAAAGCTGGYTTCTTTGCATTTTTAAAATCTATTTAAACTTTTACAAAAACAGCAGCACAGGAAGCGTGCCAAACCAGACTTTATCTTATAGTCTTCAACAATAGTTTTGACAAACAGTGAGTTTGTGGACATGAAAGTACAAATACATAATTATTGTCAAAGAAAGAAGAAATAAACACAAAGACTGCTTGAAAAAGGTTTTTAGCTTCAATGTATTTATGCTCCACTTACAGAATCAGGTTCTTCAGGTCTGAAGAGTAGTTTATAGAAACCAGCTCCATGGCCTTCTGCAGGTTCTCCCTTTGAATTCCAGCGAGTGAATTACAGGCCAAAGCCAGCACAACCTTGCCCAGCGACACTAGATCTGCTTGCTGAATGTGGAAACAAACACAAATATCCACTTATTGATAAGTTTGAACAGAACCAGAGATGATTAAACTGCTTTGTAAATTAAGTTTTGCTAAAGCATGTCATGGTATCAGTGAAGTGCGTCTGCACAAAACTACCCACATGAAAGACACATTTATTTTTTTTAAAAGTACCTGGTACTGTGGCATGAGGGCAAGATGATTGGTTTGACTGTTATCAAACGTTAAGACGTCAAAAACCCCAACACAGTTCAGCCGTAGCCTTTAGAGATAAGAGACCAGATGCACAATTAGCTTGTATGTGTATCTAAGTGTGTCACAGCACTTGGTTGAGGAAAAAAAAGGAAGCTTGAACTGTAAATACACTTCTTCTTTTAGCACATTTCACAGGAAGCGCCATCTACAAGAAATTGAATACCCGGTATTCGTCTTTGCAAAGCCATTTATGGTTATGAGTTGCTATAAACAAAAATCATTTCTCCAGACAGACAGAAGGATGAATTTTCTGCTCTGGTATTTTGTGTGTAATATACCTGGTCTTGCCGGTGATGAGAATCTTGCTGGGGTCCATGACCCGGCAGGCCAAACCAGCGGTGTGGATGGTGCGCAGGGCCGAACTCAGCTGGACGATGTAGGCCCAGATCAGAGACTCCGGCAGCAGACCTGCGTGCTGCCGTGGTGGAGGAGGTTCGTGTTGGCCTTYGCAAAACAAACAACAACAAAACATGCTTTATCACCCCCAAAAACAGCCTGAGATCAGATATTACTTATGAAGTAAACCTCAAACTGCCATCAGCTTCCTCTAACCTTCAACATTAGCTGTTACTTACAGACGCACCGTCACTGAGTAGAGTCATACTCACATATTCAAAGGCTGAATTTGATCAAGTTATTGGATGATTTTTCTTCATTAATATTTTTAAGGATGTTTAATTACTGTTTAAAGTGTGTGTGTGTGTGTGTGTGTGTGTGAGTGTGTGTGTGTGTCTGTGTGTGAGACTTTAGGTCTCTGTGCACCCTGTAGGCCACTCACACATATTCATAAAAATAACAAAGAAGTTTGACCAAAAAAATTAAAATCTTAGTGCATCCTTCTCAGAAAAATAAACCCCAACTGTAGAAATAAACAATAAAAGCAGGAAAATAGTCCAAAACCTGGTGGTTTGTCTCATTTTGTTCCCCAAATTTAGAAAAAAAAAAAGTTGTTTATCACAGCTTCTTGAACTGTCTTTTTTTTTCAGCTGCAGGGTTTAGGAAAACAAAACAAAAACAAAAATTCACTTTAAAAAAGCCTCCTGGTGGACAGGGATCAGTGTATGTGACTGAGGTTCACGAAGCCCTGCCTCGCTGCCCGTTGCTGTGTGTTGATGTTGTGTGTGTGTGTGTGTGTGTGTGTGTGCCTGGTCCTCCGCTGTAGTGCAATTGTGTGCTCCAGGTCCGGACAGTCCCGCCCTGGGCCCGAAGAGGGCGCTACAGAGAGCCGGCCGCAGCAGCCTGCAGCTCCTGGAAGGTGCTGTCGAAGCAGCGCTTCAGGTCCGAGTACGTAACAACCAGGACGCTTTTCTCATCCCGAGAAACCAGGCTGATCTTCTCTGGAACACCCGCGTCCAGCTGAACACACACACACACACACACACACACACACACACACACACACACACACACACACACACACACACACACACACAGAAACAGAAGATTTAACAAACTGTCGCTAACGCAAGAAAATGTGAGAAAAAAAAAAACATTTGAACAATTTGAGTCATTCGCCAAACATCTGTAACCTCATTAACCTTAAAAGACACGACGGGCACGAAGCTCAAATCCCTTATCTCAACATGACATATTTGACAAGTACAAAAAGTACCATTTAAAAACGGCCTCCGACGTCTAAGAAGAGGAAGAACAAAAGTGAGATAAGGAGGAAAAAAAAGGCCAAAACTGGAAATTAAGTCAAAGTCATTACGGAAGTTCGTATTTCTGTAGGTAGGTGTGAATTTAAAACAACATCTAGAAGATTCTACGTCTCTGAGCACATTTAAATATTTGGCTACAAGTAGTGCTGGCTACAGAATAACACTGAATTAATCCCATTATTATGCATAAAATCAAATTATGAGTCAAAGATGTTTAGAGCATTATTAAAGTATTGTTTTATATAGAAAGGTGTGGTGCTTTGTCAAAAATGTTAAGGCAAAATAAGCCCGTCTTCTGGTGCGTTCCAGTAAATTTAAACTGGAACAACCCTCCAGTGGTATATCCCATTTGTATAGTGGGAGCAACTACCCCCAGTTTCCACTTCAAGATGGCGGCTACTCGCAGCTTTAGAAAGCTAATTGTTGTTCTTGATTTTGTGCATGTTTAATCACTCAAACAAGTAGTGTTTTTTGTGCATGTTGTACATTTGTTTATTTATTTTTTATTTATTTACTGTTATTTTACCAGGCAAGTCCCACTGAGATCTAAGATTTTTTTTTGGGGGGGGGGGGCGCACCCGGAGAAAACCCACACAAGCACGAAGAGAACATGCAAACTCCACACAGAAAGACCCCAGGTCCGAACGGGGAATCGAACCAGGACCTTCTTGCTGTGAGGCGTCAGTGTCAACCACTGAGCCGTCGTGCTGCCGTCATATATACAAAAGTAATGAAGATGGTTAAATATTTGTATGACAATCTGACTCAAGTCTTGCCATATTAATATCAATGTTTATTTGCATGACGTCCATAGTGGAGCTCTCTTTTTATCATTTATATTGTAACTAGGTTAGAGGCAGCAAGACTCTCCTGTGGGCTGACTGGAATGTGGTTTCATACGGTTTGTTAGGAAATTACGTCACTACCATTTCCCATTTCCCCAATACAAAGTAAATGGAACGCACCATTACTTTGTGTATTTTGCTCCCACACACTGCATCCAGCCTTGTCTGCAGAACCCTCCCTTCATTTGTTACGATGGACGATCAGTGGGTTTTGAATTGAAGAAATATTTCATCCTCAAAACTAGGGCTGGACGATACGGCCTAAAATCAGTTTCACAATATATTGACTAGCTCACCTCGATAACGATAAATGCACAAAAACGCTTACGCTACTACACACATACACAAGTACACGGTATAATATAGTCATATACACTATGTCCCTGTTCTTAGTCAAAGTACACAGTTTAGTTTTCTCTAATGAAGCGTTATACAAAAATTTTAACCTGAACCATTTGGATTAAAGGCAGAGTTTTATTTTGAACAGCTTTTCTGTAGTTTATATTTGTCATTTTATTGTTTTTAATATATTTAATAAAAAACATTTTTAGCAAGACTTGAGTCAGATAGTCATACAAATACTTAACCATCTTCATAACTTTTGTATGTATGTACTATAATTTTATATTTTTAAAAATATACCAAATATGTCTTTTGTGCTGCACAAAATAACTTTACATGTTTTATTTGTTAGAMTGAATGATCTCTCTACTGAAATAATTTCTTTCAAAAAGATATTATTTAGAGAACTCGTGTAATCATTTAATACTATTTATTCTTCATATTTGATCATTTATTGAATAACAGAGCAGTTTAGTCACAGTATGGTTCTAAATATAAGCAAGTTATATTGTGAAGAATGAAATTTGTAGGTATTTATGATAAACTACAAAAAGAACATAGCAGGGTGTTGTGCTTTTCCAAGACACAGATTTTTTTTTTTTTTTTT